AACCAACAAAGCCTACTTTTGGCAAACTTTTCTGAAATTGGTGTTACTCCTAGAACGCCTCACATGGAGCTGTTTCGAATATGGTCCTTTCTGAGGACACCACCTCGCATTTCCACCGAGTTCAGCTGTTGGTGGTATCCTTCCAAGGTAGCCAAACATTCCGCTCTGTACAGAAGCACCGGACTTGCTATCGTTGTGTACACTTTCCCCTTTAGTTTGACGGGCATTTTCTTGTTGCACAGTACTCTGCTCGCTTCTCGCCATTTGAGTCAAATTTTCTACGAACAGTTCCACATCTGGCCGTTGATTTTGCAGTGTGGAACCAAGGTAGTTCAATCCTTGGATTTGAAGCAGCAAACTCTCCACTACTTTCACTGGTTTGATGGATTTCACTCTGTTTTCCTCACTGAAATAGCCCGCCATATATTCCGACTTGTCTTTGCTGAGTCGAAGGCCATTCTTCTCAAGGGCTGTTCTTTATGAATCGGTTTTTGCTGCTACCTCTTCCCTGCTTCCGCTGCACAGCATAATGTGATCTGCACAGAGCATGCAGTATGGCGCTGCTTCCAGCAGATCCTCAGTTATGGCGTGTCGCGATCGAGAACAGGAAGGGGTTCAGTGCGGATCCTTGGTGGACTCCTACTTGTACAGGGCCAAGGGACTTTTTATTTTTCATTCTGAACAAGGCTTATTCAAACTCTTCCGATGAGATCCTTTCGACTAGGTTCTGGTTTTATGGGATCTGTTCCTCGTTTAGTAGCATTTCGAAGTGCCTATGCGAGTATCTTTCTCATCAGTCAGCACCATTCCGCTTTCGTCTTTTATGCACTTCACTTTATCGACGTCTCTTGTTCTTCTTTCTCTGGCTTCTGCTATGCAATAGGTGTCTTTCTCCCCTTCCTTCCATGCCAGCTTTTCATATAAGTTCTTGCACGCCGTAGACTTTGGTTCGGGGACGACTTTCTTTGCACCCCTTTTTCATATGGCATATTTTAGTTTGTCTTTTCCGCTGTTTTAGATCTGCCAGTTTTTGAGCAGTTCTTTCATCTGTCATAGGGTCGCCTGCACTTCTGTATTCCACTTTACTCCTTTTGCCATTGGTTTCTTGCATTCCCTATAATTATGCTGGGACATTCACTCATATGCTTCATCTACTTTCTTGCTGAACTTTCTTCGTCATTTTTCTCGTAAACTCAATTTTGAATATTTCTTCTAGCCTTGGGGCTGCCGCCTTGCCCATATTTCAGAGAGAGACGTCTAGGACCAATAGTTGACACTGGCTAACGCAGTTTCCCCAGGGTTAACCTCGCAATCTCTGAGGTTCTTAAGTTAGTCCCTTCGGAGTAGGAAGTAGTCGATCCGATTTTCCTTCTGAAGGTATTTCTCCTGTTGCTGTAAGAGCGTGTTTATCAGAGCCAGATCATATGCTACTGCCATCCGCAAGATATTGTGTCCATTTTCAGTCAACGTACCATGTCCATGTCTGTCACGGATCCTGATGTAACCCGTTCGATGTTCCCAACGTGCACATTGAAATCGTCCTGATTATCACATCTCTGTTTTGAGATGCAATTTCTAGGCTCTCCCACAACGTTAACGTTTCGATTTTATTCTACCAGTCTGAGGGCGTAGGTGCAAATTACCTTAAAGATATTACTTTCCAAAGTCAGCTTAATGCCCATACTTCTGTCATTAATTTTCTTGACTTCCAATGCCCTGTCTTTCATTGCTTCATTCAATACCACTCGAACTCTCTGTCTTGTGCTTGATGTTCCGCAGTAAATGAATCTATAGCCTAGCCGAATGTCTTTCGATTTCTCACCTTTCCACTTCGTCTGCTGAATAAAAGTGCTCTGAACTTTTCTTCTATGAAGAGCTTCCGCTAGCTCAATGCCCTTCTCCGCTCCAAGTGGCTATTCGCATTTTCTCGCTTCGTTTTCTGCATTTTAATCTTTTTTTGTGACCGCCGTCGTCGCAAGAACTGGTTTCCTCGTTCATTTCTCACACCGGCCAGGATTTGTCTGCTGAGCATCGCTTGAGGGGAACTCAATGGCATTCTTTCTAGATGTAGGTTGACTCATCATATTTGGCATTGGCATCGGTTTTAAAGGCCGGCTGCCTGCATGACGTCAACTGGTTTTTCTGAACTCGGACTGAATCCGGCTACAGCTCCTTGGCCTGAGCAGCATGCTTATTTGATGGCGGCAAGTACTTGCCATGCCATCGAGTCACGCGGTATTTTCTAGGGCTGACTTTGCCAAAAGTATCCTCTTAGCACTGTCTTCACCTCGTCCGCGACTGCTTATTCGTCGTTTCGCAGCCATACCTGAGGATTGTTCGACAATCCGCAACCTGAAAACGCGTTCACTGGTATCTGATTCTGTCTCGATACTGCTATCGAACCATAACCTACAAAACTGTTATTTTACATTGTGAGGCACTGATATGGCCGGCACGTGATTCAGGTGGTAATAACTCACAGAAGTGACTTGCATACGCTGCCAGATGCACAATTTCACAGCAAGACATTTCTGGTCCGCTACGGTATACAGATTTCATTCTTTAATGCAATCCCTTATTTAAACTGTTGGCTGGTATCAGTGAAGTAGACGTTGAGAATGGAAATGAAAAACCAAATTATGACATGCTGACAAAGTTTCCTTATCGGACTGGCATATGAACGCTTATGCAACATCGAATAGAAGAGTACAATTTCAGGATCCAATTTTGTCCAAAACTATCGGGTATATAGTCTCGTCCACTGAATAATTACCATACCGTATATAAATGAAAACTATATAACAATGAACACATGCACAATGGGATGCTAACTAAACGCAGTATATACAGAACCTATTGATGTGCAAAATGCCAATGCAAACACATATATGCACCCTATATGAAGTATAATATCTATTTATGCATTCATAAATAGAAAATTATTAGTGTGCAAAGCTTTAACATATGTCGCTGCGTTTAACCATCCAATTTAATCATTTATATGGTCAAAACCCAGTCGATGAGGCGTTGGTAGACAAACGAGTCACTGTGACATTGTCAAATGACATCAGTCATTGCAAAAAAAAGTTTCAAGGTTTTCTTGAAGTGGAATGCCAACATACCGCAGATTAACTGCAGCAATTCAGTTCTAAACGTCTGATCTCAACACCGTCATTTTCTCAGAAGAATTCCATTTCGAAGGAATATCAATGTTTTCCACTACTCATTATTTAACGTTCTATTTTCCGTGTGCTTGTGTTCAAAGATATTTTGTTTAGCTCCGACGAAGCCGAAAACTGAAGGAGGAGGTCATCTGATCGACATATTCTCGAATATTTTTAGAGGAGTGGCTGGAGGTGGACAGCGGACGTGAATCCACTGGATTCTCAGACTTTTCGCAGTCACTAAAGGCAGACATGGTCAGGAGAACGATACATCGCGCTTGCTGATGGATTTTTTAATTCGTTAAAATCTTTCGAATCTGTTTCAAATGAACATGAAATAAAAAGTCATTTCATCAACTATCAATTGCAATGATACGCAGTTCATCAGGGGCTACATTCCACTGTCCATGAAATACGGCTGACCGTTTCGACTGGTTCGTGCGGTCAGAATTTCGCAGCCACTTTCAGTGACCAGCAGAGTCTGCTCAAACTGCGCCGAACGCTTTCCATCGGCTGTGGCCGCTGTCCACTCGTCCTGCCACTGAATGTCCTTCCAGACACCCTCGTTGATCATCGGTTCGATCGTGAAGCTGTGTCCGGCCTTCATCACCCCCATGGCTTTATTCCCTCAAAGAGAACGATTAATCAAAGGGGTTTAAATCAGATTCATACCTAATCTAAGCAGGTAGAGCGCCTGTGCGGCAATCGTTTCATACCACGGCACTACAAATCACTGTCTGCTCGCTCATCACCATAATGATGCACACCATGCATAAACACACCAGCGCACTTATGAATAACTGGCTGACCGGATTCTAACTCAGGACTTATGCAGAAGGACGCTGACTTCTCAGGGTCAAAA